TTTCTGCATTTTCAGGATTTTTTTCACTGCTCTTCATGTGCCAGGAAGCCAGAACGGGTTGCAAAAGAAGAAGAAAATTGTGTAATACTGAAAGACTCGGAACCAGTTACAGCCGAATTTTTGCATTCGTGGGTCCTTGCAGTGTGAGACCCCGTGCTCCCCGGGCTGCAGCTGACCTGCTCTGCTGGGGACACGGGCAGGTTCAGGGCTGCAAAGCAGGCTGAGCCATGGACGACCCTAACACCAGGAGGCTCTGAGTTCACAGCTCTGAGGAAGCTGGCCCGGCCTGGGCGTGGGCTGGAGGGTTCCTTGCAGCAGAGTGGAGGGTACAGAAGTCCCTCCACAGTGAAGCAATCTCAGAGGCCGTCACAGAGCTGACTCTGCACCCCAACAGCTCGCAGCTACACAGCAGGCAGAAAACTCAGGGAGGAGCTCTGAGCCTCGTGTTGAATATCAATAAAAACCAAGAAAGAACAATTCTCAGTTCACACGTACGAGAAATGTGTCTGCCCAGGAGCATGTCTTTTTCCAACACAAAGCCAGCCCAGACCAGCAGGGAGCCAGGCCTGGCGTTGGACAGGACAAGCCCGTACCCTGTCGGGAATGTCCTCTGTCCCCAAAGTATGCCAACAGGCTTTTCTTTTGGAACTAGACAAGTATATACTAAAGTCCGTAAGGAAAATAAAAGTGTAAAACTAACTTGGAAAACGCTAAAGAGGTGGGCTTCCGGGAGGTGCCTGGCACCCACACAGGGGAGACCCAAGGCACCCGAGGTCCACTGAGCAGCTATCCACAGAGCACATGGAGGTCACAGGTCCAGCCAAGGACGCAGCCCGCACCCAGCCCTGAGGTGTCCTTGGACTAATCCCCCCGCTGCGTGACTGTCTCCAGACCTCCCCTCAGCATGTCCGTCCCCCACCTCCACTCATCAGCACCGGGCCGAGGTCCCCGTGGTCCCCGTTCCCGCTCTTGCTTTACACAGTCAACCCCCAGGGATTCCTGGACCCGGGCAGGCGTGGAGATGGACACTGCCATCGAGGGGAGGCAGGGCGGGCACCGTGGACAGGGCTCTCTTGGCTCCGGGGCGTTTGGAAGGCAGCTGGAGGACTGGGCTTCGAGGGCAGAAGTGGTTCCTGAGAAAGAGGACGTGTGTCCTTCAGAGGCCAATGTGCTGGGTAGAGCTGCTTGGCTTCCCCAGAAACCTTCAGTGTTGAAACCCAGGCTGGGGCGGCGGGTGTCCACCCACGGCCTCCACTCAGCCTGGGTGGCCTCGGGCAGGCGGGGAAGTCCGAGTGTGCCCAGGACACAGAAGGACACGACGTTGCGTCCTTGTGAGCGTCCTGGACTCTTAGGAGGAGCCCTGGGTCCCCCTGTTGTAATTTACAGCCCCTCATTAGTCCCCTCGCAGGGGTGTGGCTCTTCATCACTTGTAATTATCTGAAATTAATCATTTGTCCCCAAAATCCCAGATTCAGTTATAAGGACTGACATAAGGTACAGTGAGACCAGGGACCAGGACCGCACAGAGCAATTAGTGGGGGTCACAGGCAGAAGTGAGGTCCTGGGCCGTGGCCAGACCAGCAGATCCCTGTGCCCTGGTCAGTGGCAGGGCTTCTACAGTGGCCAGGACAGTGGCTCATCCAAGCCTGACAGCACCTGGCTTACCTCAAGCCAACACCAAGACTCAGGTGCAGCCTGGTGCTGAGGGCCCCAGCGTCGGGCCACACTGAGCCACCCGCGTCTCAGCAGTCCTGCCGGCAAACTGCGCTGGCCCATCCTGCGGGCAGCGGGAGGCTCGCTCAGGCAATGGTGGTGCTGGCCACTGGAGATGGCCGCGGTCAGGCCAGGCTAGGTCCCTGCAGTGCCAACAGCAAGCCACCCACCCGTCACTATTTCCCTACGAGGAAAGTGGCCGTGCGTTGTCCTCTCCCCGGGCTGTGGTCAGAGTGCTACGCACTGACCAGTGTTCTTAAACTAAGTGCTGGAGATCGATTAACCAGTTATGGTCGTTCATCATTAATAATCTACCTGTGAAGGTTCCTTTATCTCCTTTTTCATGCTGCATCACGATGGGAGGACAACTGTCCTTCCCCCCAAGGACCAGCATGGCAATTGCGTTTGCAGGCCTGGGGGACACTGAGTGTTGGTAACAGAATCGGTGGGACCGCGGGGTTCGTCTCTTCTTGAATAGCCTGGACGCAGATCTTCCTGGTAAAGTGGTGACCCAGAGACGCGTCCTGTGGACTCCCCATCACAGTGCTCACTGCTGTCTACACCAGTTTGTTCAATGTCCTGCAGGGTCACTTCTGGGGCCCTGGTCCACTGTGGCCCTGAAGCCTGTTGGTCATTGTGGAGGCTATGGAGGCTGTGGAAGTCTGGAAGTTGTGGGGTCAGCATGGAGTCTGTGAGATGGTGGAGGTTGTGGGTCAGCATGGAGGTTGTGGAGGCTGTGGGTCAGCTTGGAGGCTGTGGAGACTGTGGAGGTTGTGGGAACAGCATGGAGACTGTGGAGGCTGTGGGTCAGCATGGAGGCTGTGGGGTCAGCATGGAGGCTGTGGGTCAGCATGGAGGCTGTGGGGTCAGCGTGGAGGTTGTAGGGTCAGTGTGGAGGCTGTGGGTCAGCGTGGAGGCTGTGGGTCAGCGTGGAGGTTGTAGGGTCAGTGTGGAGGCTGTGGGTCAGCGTGGAGGCTGTGGGGTCAGCATGGAGGCTGTGGGTCAGCGTGGAGGCTGTGGGGTCAGCGTGGAGGTTGTAGGGTCAGTGTGGAGGCTGTGGGTCAGCGTGGAGGCTGTGGAGGTCAGGAGGTGTGTGGCCTGGCGTGGTGCTGAACCTACACGCAGGTGTTGAGCTCACTCTGGGATGGACGGGATGAAGAGGTTCCTTGGTGGCTGGTGCTGGTTTCCTGAGCCCTGGGGTGGGAGACTGGGCAGAAGGAAAGGCAGGAGGAGGCCCTGGGAAGGCCCCTCCCGGCCGAGCAGCTGGACAGAGACCACTGCTGTCATGAGGGACGGCTGGACCCCTCCTGCTCCACTCACCTGTGTGCAGAAGCCGGAACCCTGCGCCGGGCAGGGCTGCCAGTCAGTGTGGTTCCCGTTGAGGCCTGCTCTGAGGGGACTCGGTCACTGGGGGGTGGCGGGCCCCAGCCCCACGGCTACTGAGGTGGGGCCCTGTTTCTGTGGTCCTCGAGCAAGGGCTCCCGGGGTCAGCAGCATCTCCTCTGTCCCACCTCAGTTGGTCACTCTGCAGCCCTGACCCCCGTCCCCCACAGGACGACTTCCCGCTACTGCACGGGGTGTCTCTGTCTCATCTTGGATCCGGGGCCTCTACACTGAGCCAGACCCTGGCCATCAGTGATTTCCTATTTTGAGACGAGGTCCTGCTAAGTTGCTTAGAACCCCTCTACGTGGCCCAGGCTGGCCTCAAACTTGAGGTCCTCTTGCCCCAGCTGGAGTCGCTGGGATTACAGGGGTGACCAGGACACCCTACGGTCCACTAGGCTGATGACGTGCTGGCTGGACCTCCAGGAGGGCACAGTCATTCTAGGTGGTTCAGAGGACGACGTGGGCAAGATGTCACCCCCTGCCGGTTTTTGCTCCTGACCCAGCTCCTAGGAACGCAGCTGCCGGAGGCGCCTCGCATTTCCCATGCAGGTGGGGACTCGCGCTCCGTCAGCTCTCCTACAGGAAGAACGTGCCCAGGCCGCGTCGGGGGTCTGTCCCAGCCCCTCCTTGGGTGTCTGAAAGGCCGAGGCTTCAGCTCCCACTGGTGGGACTCAGAGCAAGAGAAGACTCGGCAACTGTGCAGCTGCAGAAAGCGCAGCCAAGGGCCCGGCAGAGGCACGGCGCTGGACACCTGCGACAGACACGGCGTCGGCAGGAGCTGAGGAGCCACAGCCCAGGCGTTGGGGCGTCAGAGCCGCACGGTGCCAGTGCCGTATCTGCAGAGCGCTGGTCTTTCTCTGGGAAACACCTTCTGGATTCCTACTGGGCCCCAGGAGAGACTGACCACTTGGCCATCGGTTGCCCCGTCATCAGGCCCCTCCTGAGCTGGGCATTGCCTGACCAGCGCCCAGAGGCCTCCATCGATCACGCTGAAGTGGCTCATCCAACACGTGGCTCAATAGGTTCCTGAAGGCACGGGAGGACAGAATGGCGAGCACCCAAAGGTGTCCACTCCCCATTATCAGAACCGTGACTGCCTTACCTTATGGGCACCAAGGGACGTGGCAAAGGTGCTCAAGGGTGATGGCCCAAGTGGGCCCCACACAACCCCAAGTCCTCATAAGAGGAAGAAGCAGGCAGAGGTCAGCACAAGAGATGGACGGAGCAGGATCAGAGGTCAGCGTGGCTGCGGGCTTTGAGGAGGAAGGGGATGCAGAGGCCCAGGAGCAGGGCGTGGAGAAGCCGGGAGAGGACCTCGAGCAGAGCCGGCCACGGGCCACAGAGGGCCACAGCCCACAGAGAGCTTGACATAAGCCAGGGGCCACCTGGGACTCAAGATGACCTGGGCTGTGAGACAGTGAACCCGACATGTGATTGGTGCAATGTCATCGTGCACAACAGGGGCTGCTGGGACTATTCCCGCAGGCACACAGCGTGACTCAATGTCAGTCACAGTCCTTGGCCCCTCCCCCACTGACTTCCCCAACACGAGCTTCCCGGAAACTCCTCGCCCCTTTCCCTCTCGGGCTTCCACATGGGAGAGACCCTAGGCTTCCTGGTCTGTCCATGTCATTGGAATCTGTATTTCTTCATGCCACCATTTGTCCCCACAGAAATAGAAAGCTGATGTGCTGGTAGCTGAGAGCTGGGAGCATCCGTGCTCTAAAACTGGGGTCCGACCTCTCCTTCTCAGTGACGTGCAAGAAATGTGTGTCCACTCCTGGGTGGAAAGGACCTCGGGCCAGCAGCCAGCTCTCAGGGGACGCGCACACCCATCTGAGCCGCCTGCAGGGGGCCCAGGCCCACCCCACCCAGTCCTGGGGACAAGAGCCAGGCTCTGGGGGGGGGCAGTTCCCCTTCCTGTGGGCAGCTGATGTGACAGCCCTATGACAGGCAGAACCCGGCCTCCAAGTGGCCACGCCCTGTGTGTGTCTGTCCTCCAGCTCTGTGACCTCCTCCATCTGGACCCTGGGACCACGGGGAGGACACACCATGACCCCCACCCTCACGGCCCTGCTCTGCCTGGGTGAGATGTGACGGAGGGAGGGGACACCCTGTTCTGGGAGGTCAGCCCACAGCCAGGCCCTGGCCATCAGGAGACCCAGGGCCCAGGAGGCTGTGGGGGGACAGGGCCTGCTCAGGCCTCAGGGGCTCCCCTCTCACAGGAACTCTCTTCCAGGGCTGAGTCTGGGCCCCGGGACCCGAGGGCAGGCAGGTGAGTGTCCCCAGCTGTCCAGGTCCTCCTCCTGGGGACCAGGAGCCACCCTGGGCAGTGGGGTGAACAGAGTTGGGGGCTGAGGCTGGGGAGCCTGGAGGGGGCTGGGCTGAGGGCTGGGATCTGAGGGGTGTGCTGGGACCCAGCCTCTGATTCCCTTGCAGGGACCCTCCCCAAGCCCACCCTGTGGGCTGAGCCAGGCTCTGTGATCTCCTGGGGAAGGCCAGTGACCATCTGGTGTGAGGGGCCCCTGGAGGCCCAGGAGTTCCGTCTGGGTAAAGAGGGAATCTCAGGGCCCTGGGACAGACAGAGCCCACTGGGCCCCAGGAACAAGGCCAAGTTCTCCATCCCGCACATGACTGAGCACCGTGCAGGGAGATATCAATGCCTCTATCTCAGCCCTGCTGGGTGGTCAGAGCATAGTGACCCCCTGGAGCTGGTGGTAATGATAGGTGAGAGGACACTCAGGGGTCCCAGCCCCAGGCTCTGCCCTCAGGGAGGGGGTCTGCTCCCAGAGTGTCCCTCTCACAGCCCAGCTGGGGGTGGTGTGGGAGGAGGGAGCCATGAACACCTGCCTCCTTCTCTCCTAGGAACCTACAGCAAACCCTGGATCTCAGCCCTGCCCAGCCCTGTGGTGACCTCAGGAGGGAAGGTGACCCTCCAGTGTGGCTCATGGCAGGGATATGGCAGGTTTGTTCTTGCCAAGGAAGGAGGACACCACCTCACCTGGACCCTGGACTCACAGCGACACCCCAGTGGGCAGTATCAGGCCCAGTTCCCAGTGGGAACTGTTAACCCCACCCACAGGTGGACATTCACATGCTACGGCTATTTCAGGAGCAACCCGCAGTTGTGGTCAGGACCCAGTGACCCTCTGGAACTCCTGGTCTCAGGTGAGGAAGCTCCATCTTCCCCTGACACAGTTGGGGACATTAAGCAGGGACTTGGGGGCCTCTTCCTTAGGACGGCCCCAGGTGAGAGAAAGGGGAGAGAATCAGGGTCTCCTCACCAGAGTCCCCAGGAGTGAGAGGGTGACCTGCAGGCAGGACGGGGGGAGGCAGGGGGTTGGCAGGGTCCAGCCCTCAGCCCAGGCTCCTCTTCCTCCAGGGGTGTCCAGGAAGCCCTCCCTCCTGACCCAGCAGGGCCCTGTCCTGGTCCCTGGAGAGACCCTGACCCTCCAGTGTCACTCAGACGTCACCTATGACAGATTCGCTCTGTCCAAGGAGGGGGCACAGGACCTCCCCCAGCGCCCTGCCCAGCAGCCCCAGGCTGGGCTCTCTCAGGCCGACTTCCTGCTGGGCCCTGTGAGCAGCTCCCACGGGGGTCGGTACAGGTGCTACGGTGGACACAGCCTCTCCTCTGAGTGGTCAGCCCCCAGTGACCCCCTGGACATCCTGGTCTCAGGTGAGGAGCACAGAGGGTGCAGTCAGGGACCCAGCCTCTGCACAGCCCTGTTGGGGAGCCCCAGGAGGTGATGGCCAGGGTGATGTGGGGTCCCAGGAGGGAGAGAGACAGGGAGGGGCAGAGAGGACAGAGACAGGGGGACACAGGGACAGGAAGAATCAGAGACAATGAGACAGACAGAGAGCACAGGGTCCTCAGAGAGAGGCCCTGGGGAGGTCTCAGCTCAGAACAAGCTGGGGCCACCCTCACCCTCCTTCCTCTCTCTAGGACAGCTCCCTGTCACACCCTCCCTCTCAGTGCAGCCAGGTCCCACAGTGTCCTCAGGGGAGAACGTGACCCTGCTGTGTCAGTCACAGATCAAGATGGACACTTTCCTCCTGTGCAAGGAGGGGGCAGCTGATCCCCCCCTGCATCTGAGAGCAGAGTACCGAGCCCCATGGCACCAGGCAGAGTTCTCCATGACAGCTGTGACCCCAGCCCTCGGGGGAACCTACAGGTGCTATGGCTCTCACAGCTCATCCCCCTACCTGCTGTCACGGCCCAGTGCCCCCCTGGACCTGGGGGTCTCAGGTGAGTGACCCTGACCCCATCCTCTGTGAGCTCAAGGATTCCCTCAGGGCCCTGCCCAGGACAGCTCTGGGTGGGATGGGAGTGAGGGGCCCTAGGGAGGGTCGGCCAGTGGGACTCACCCCTCAGAGAGGAGGGGCCAACGGGGTCCTCCAGCCTGTGCACCCACCCACCACTGGAATCAGGAAGGTGCAGGTGGGCACAGGAGGGTCCTGGGGAGGCCAGGCAGGTGTAGGAGGATGGGCAGAGACAGTCCCCAGGGGCAGCCTGCACCCCTCACCCTCCTGTTCTCCTCATTCCCAGGACCCTCTGGGGGACCCAGCCCTCCACCCTCAGGACCCAGGTCACCAGCTGGTGAGTCTCAGGGCACCAACCTAGGGTTTCCTGAGTCTCCTGGGGGCTGGACTCCAAGCCATCTTCCAGTCATCTAATTCTCAGCCTGGCTGGTGTTCCTAGAGCTGGGTGGGGTGGAGAGGTGGGTGGGGACTCCAGGCCCCGGGGCTCAGGGCTGGGAGGCATGAGGGTGAGGTCCAGGCAAAGGAGACTCTGGGCCCAGCCTGGGGAGGAGCAGCCAGCTGAAGTGGGGGGCAGGCAGCCCAGCCCTCACCTCCCACCCACCCCAGGAGGCCCTGAGGACCAGCCTCTCACCCCCACGGACCCAGGACCCCAGAGTGGTGAGTGAGGGGCTCTGGTGGGAGGTGGGGTCCAGGGCAGGGGCTGAGCTGAGGGGGGAGCAGCCCCCTCTGGAGATGCTGACGGGGACCAGCCCCTCCCGTCTGGGCCTCAGTTTCTCCCAGGGCAGAGGAGAGGCCTGGCCCTGACCTTCAAGTGCCTCTCAGGGCTGACCTTGGCTGTGCCCTGCTGGGAGAGGGGCCTCCAGGGAAGCCTCCAGGACCTGAATCTGCAGGGCCCTGTCCCCTCTGTGCAGTGACAGTGACACTGAGCAGGGGAGGGGCTCAGGGCCATCGGGGTGTCAGGCTCTTTCCCTCCAGCTCAGGGCTGAGCTCTGGTGGAGAGAAGGAGACTGGGAGTCAGACTCCCCCAATTCAGGCCCCGCTCTGCTGCCTCCTGCTGGGTGACTGGGCAGGGGACCCCCCTCTGAGCCTCAGTTTCCTCGTTTGTGCCTGGGGAGTGGGTGGCAGGGCCATGATGCCTGAGTGACAGGGCTGGAGGTGACAGGTGGAAAGACCAGCAGGCTGGCACACAGTAGGTGCTCAGGTAAGCAGCGTGGCTCCTCGTCCACACCTGTGCCCAGGACTGGGAAGGCACCTGCCGGTTCTGGTCGGGGTCTCAGTGGCCTTCCTCCTGCTGTTCCTCCTCCTCGTCCTCCTCCTCCTCTGGCGTCACAGCAGACGCAGGAAGGCAGGTGAGTGGCACTGGGTGACCTGGCTCTCAGCAGGCGGTGGCCTCCCCATGGGCCAGGCGAGGGTGGGCTCAGGGCAGCAGCCCCAGGGAAACCTGCCCGCTGGGACAGGTCACTTGGAAACACTCCCCAGGAAATAGAGAGGAGCAGTCCCCTGCTCGCGGCTTCTAGACCAATGTCGGCAGGTGTGCACCCTTTCCCTCTCAGGGGACAGGAGGGGGTCTTCACACCCCTGCGGTGGCCTGTGGGGGCCAGCGGTTCCCCCTGGGGCTGAGACTGTCCCCTCATGCAGCCCAGACAGAGGCTGGCTTCCAGGGACCTGCAGGGGACACAGAGCCAGGGCCCCAGGACAGAGGCCAGCAGAAGAGGTGATTCCTGCTCCAGACCTGGACCCCACACACACCGTCCCTCACTGCCACCTGACATCCCCTGGTCCCCCCACTGTCCTTCACTGCCACCTGACAGCCCCTTGTCCCCCCCACCATCCCTCACTGCCACCTGACACCCCCTTGCTCTCCCCACTGTCCCTCACTGCCACCTGACAACCCCTTGCTCTCCCCACTGTCCCTCACTGCCACCTGACACCTCTTTGTCCCCCCCTCACTGTCCCTCACTGCCACCTGACACCCCCTTGCTCTCCCCACTGTCCCTCACTGCCACCGACACCTCCTTGTCCCCCCCTCACTGTCCCTCACTGCCACCTGACACCTCTTGTTCCCCCCACTGTCCCTCACTGCCACCTGACACCCCCTTGTCTCCCCCACTGTCCCTCACTGCCACCTGACACCCCCTTGTCTCCCCAGATCCCGTCCAGCGGCTGCCCCTGCGGCCCAGGAAGAAGCCCTCTGTGAGGGAAGGGGGCTGGGGTGGGAGGGGGAGCCCAGGTCCCAGCACCTCCCAGTGGGGGCAGGAGGGGCAGGCGGGAGGGCCTGGGGCTCAGGCTGAGTGGCTGACCCACACTGGGGACCTGGGGACATCACCACGGCTCCCTGGCTCTGTGTCCCCATCTGGGACAGGGCAGGGCCTGGGGGACTGAGAGGCCCCAGCAGCTCTGGCCAGGAGACGACCCCGTTCTGTCCCCACAGATGCTTCTGTGAAGGACCCTCAGCCTGAGGACGGGGTGGAGCTGGACAGTCGGGTGAGACCCCCCCCAGGCACCAAGAACTCCCTGTTCCCGCTCAGCCCAGCGGCCATGTCCCTGTCCTCCACCGCTGACCCTCAGTGATGACCAGGCTGCCCCCTCCCTCCCTGTGGCCACTCGGGTGCCCTTCCTGGGCCTGGCTGTTGGCGTCTCCTGGGGCCTCCGAGGACCAGGAATACATGAGCCACCGTCCCCGAGGCTCCCCCACACTCCGTCCAGCTGTTCTCAGGGAGCTCCCTCCTGACCGGCTCCAGGTCGGCTGCAGGTGCAGGAGCCAGCAGAGCCCCGCCCCCTGAGCTCACCTGGGCCCCGACATGAAGTAAACGCAGCCTCAGGAGAGCAGAGCCACAAGGGAACTAAAGCAGAGAAAGGGACGGGGCCGGGAGGGCCCTGATGAGCCGGGGGCACAGGGCCACAGGTGCCTGACGAGCAGCCGCAGCAGGGGACGCGGCAGGTGCCAAGGTCCTGAGGCAGCAGCAGGCTCTTTCAGGAAGGGGGGAGTGGGGCTGGAGCCAGTGAGCAGGGCTGGGCGTGTGGGGTAAGAGCTCAGAGCTGCAGGAGGAGCCTCCAGGCCTCTAGGCTGGAAGCCCCTGGAGACCCCATGAGCAGTGACGTAATCTGAGATTGTTGAGGGGTCACTCTGGCCACAGTGCAAAGTGGCTGGAGGAGAGCCCCAGTGGACCTCAGGGGACTCGTCTGTCTCACTGTGTCCCTGCTGCAGGGCCCACCTGACGGAGACCCCCAGGGAGTGACATACGCCCAGGTGGAGCACTCAGGACTCAGGCGGGGTGGGAGCTCCCCTCTCCCCCCGCTGTTGGGGCAGTTCCTGGGCACAGAGGACGCAGAGGACAGACAGACGGACACTCAGGTGGGTGCTGTCCTCTCCAGGCCCCCGGCTTCCCCGTGCCAAGCACACACCCTCCCTCTCACCATCTCCCACTCCAGGCTGCTGCATCTGAAGGTCCCCAGGACGTGACCTACGCCCAGCTGTGCAGATGGACACTCAGACGGGGGGCCGCTGCCCCTCCCTCCTCCCAGGCAGAGCAGCCCCCAGCGGAGCCCAGTGTGTACGCTGCTCTGGCCCCTGCTCACCCCGGAGCTGCCCCCAAGGACACTCACTAGTGGCCCAGCCTCCACAGACACCTCAGGAAAACTCAGGGGACTCTGGGGACTTGGGGCCCCTTGTTCTGCAGCTGTAGATAAGTGACACCATGATCCTCCAAATAAACAAGGAGTTGTCAGTGATACAGGAGTGGGGAGAGGAACACCAGAAAAGGGAGAGAGGGTGGGAACAGAGGGGAATGAAGCACCACCAATGACCTTGAACCTAGGGCATTCACAGCCATGAGCACAGCCATGACCCTGACCCAGGGCATTCACAGCCATGAGCACAGACAAGACCCTGACCCAGGACATTCACAGCCATGAGCACAGCCATGACCCTGAACCCAGGGCATTCACAGCCATGAGCAGATGAATGAGAGAAGTAGTCTTCAAACCACGGACCTCTGTGATCCTATGGAGACATAGAGAGAGTGTGTCAACTTATTCCAAATGAAGACACAGGTAACCGCAGTTCCTACTGAGGGGGAAAAGAGAAAGAAGTGCGATAAATGAGTAAGTGCAAACCTGCACTCGGTGTTTTTGATGGTGCATGACAGTCACCCAGCAGGGGTTGGTTGGGCATATCCATGACTGTCTGTGACAGGTTTCTCCATTTGGATCCCCAGCACTTCCCCCTGCCCTCCCCTCCCCACTCCATTCCCTTGGTCCCTCTTTCTAGTCCACTGACCTCCCTGATCTTGAAGACACTGAGGACATTTACAAATCTCAGTCACAGTGACCCCAGCAGAGAGAGGGCAGCTGCACCTGGCCCAGGTGAGGGCACGGAAGTGGCCTATCCAGAGCCTCAGACAGAATGACGGAACATGTGTGCCATCTTCCAGCAGCCTAGAAAATGCAGATGAAGGGCAGCACCCCCAGTCTACACCGTTCAGGAGGGACACGCGCACAGAGACGGTTGGGACTATCCCACGCCCTGAGCACTGCGAGCCCTGCTGTGAGGGGGAGTCCTCAGCCCACTTTGTCACAGTGTCAGCAGCCACCACAGCTAGATGGCCAGGCCCACTGAGCCCCCAGGGAGTGTGGGAGTGGCCCTCAGCTGGCTGTCCTGAGGACTGGGGATGACGCAGCACAGTGGCAGGCACTGTGTGTCCACAATGTCCAAACAGAGAAGGTGGCTGAGCTGGGCCTGTGGCATGGTGCCCCCCTGAAACCTAGCTACACAGGAGGCCAGGCGGGAGGAGCTGGCGGTCCAGGCCCCTCAGCAACCTAGCAAGGCCCCGTGTCAAAGCAAGGGAAAGAAGCAGTGGGGGATACTAGTGTCTGTTGTATTCTGCTGCCTATGTGATTCTGCAATCTATATACGGGGTAAAAATGGGAGTTCATAACCCACTTGAATCAAAGTGTGAAATATGATATATCAAGAACTATGTAATGTTCTGAACAACCAACAATAAAAAAATTTAAAAAAAAAGAAGCAGTGGGGGAGGGGAGGCGGGGCTGTTGGGGCGACTCAGTGGTGCAGCCCACCTGGGGCCATCCCAGTCTGCAGAAGAGAAGGCAGAGACCGATTCCTGTCACTCTGCCTTTATGGAATGCACCAGCAGATACACACACAGCTACCCACCCCACACTGACGCTTCTTCTGAGATCAGAAAAGGAAGTAGACCAGACACGTTTCCTCTGACATTGAAAATGCTGACTTCAAACCCTGGCAAGGAAAGGTCAGAATTCAAAGACATTGAAGATGTGTCCCCTGAGCCCGAGGCAAGCCTGACACATACTCACAAACAGGACCTGTTCCTACTCAAAAGGAGCCCTCATGAGCACGCTGGGCTGGCTGGTGGTTTTTGGCTGGTGGAAGGCAAGGGTCACAATATTCAAAACATCAACCAGGAGCATCCAATGGCAGAATAAAGAAAAATGTTCATCTCAGTATGCTGGGAGCCATTAGCCAAGTAGGTATGACAATTTCCTTGCCAGCGTACCCCATGTTGCTTAGTGGAAGGACTCGTGGAAATAGGACATTTTGCAGTGACATTGCATGTAGGTGACCTTGCTCAAGGACCAAGGCGGATCCGGGTTTAGGGTGTTCCCGGTTTAGGATGATCCGAGTTTAGGGCGTTCCCGGTTTAGGACTATCCGGGTTTAGGGTGGTTCCAGGTTTAAGATTATTCCTGCTGGGAATAGGGCATATCCTGCTGCCTGAGTTCCCCTTGAGTTCTCACGGGATTCAGACAGTATTTTTTGGGAGACAGAAGCCCAGTGGGGGTGGATTTGGGCAGAGAACGTGGATTTCCCCAGAACGTGATTGTAGACGGCTGCTGTGAGTTCGGGAATAAAGAGTTGCTGTTTGAATCTACAAGCTGTGTGGTGGCTCGTGATTGTGTGCCCAGCCAGACTTCGGCATTTGGCATCCCGTGCGGGGAACTTCTGAAGCTTAGAGGTAAGTGAAATTTCTCATGCCTGAGGAAGAGCGAAAGAATGGGTGACCAATTCAAAAAACAATGTGTTATTGTTTTGATTTATTTTGTTTTTATTTCAAGTTGCCTGTTCCCAGAATTTCTCAGGCAAACTGGGGAAAATGGTTGACTCAAGGTTTGAAGTTGTTCGCCTCTGAGGAAGAGAAATTGTTACAGGAAACAGGCACCCCAGTAAGACCAAGAACAGTTAGGACATATGTTGATACAATACAAAAATGTAGCACATGGCTTTTTAAAGATGATTTGTTAAATATATCAATGGGACCATCATGGTATCCTGTAGAAGGATTTTTCTTCAACAAGAAAGAGATGGCTAGTTCTGTTTACTACACTTGTCTAAGATCTTGGTTTTTACAGATATCTGATTAATTTACAATGCTAAAGTGTTGAAACATCAACCACTCTTTACTTATTAAGTTCCATAAGGTAATATATTTAAACATTATGTGTGTTTTCATAAATCAGTGAATGGAAAAAAGGTTTAATATTGCTTTGGTCTGTGTCTTTGCTGAAAAAAGGTTACTAAATGTTAAGATTCTATCATGTGTAATTTATATACGAAGAGTGTAAGAAGTTTCAGTTGGGTTTCAATTATATTATTATAGTACCATAAAAACATGAAAGTATTTCACCTTATTAAAGTGGAGTAATTTGTCTAAATCAGAAATTTTATAAGGGTTGTTTCAAAATGTGAATTTATAAAAAGGGTTAACAGCTACAAAAGAGATATAAAAAGATTCAAGATGTGGAAATATATTTTAATATAAAGGTTAAAAAAAAATGGAAAGAAATGTTTCTAGATGAGATAATCTCTGTGTGGTAAAGTAAAAAGTTGTAAAATGCCATTTAAAAAGATTTTGAGGAAACTAGACTTACTTTAAAAGCTTGAGAAAGGAAGAAAGAAGAAAAAGGTATTTGTACATGGCAGATTGAGACAAAGCATCTTAATGGAAAAAAAAAAAAAGCCTTTGGTTGAAGGGCAGCATGTAAACTAACATTAAAGCGATTTAAACAGAATCTGAGCCTCGTTTAAAAGAGTGAAGTTGTAGGTGGTGAAAAAGTACATTTAAAAGTACAGTATAGATGATAATTAAAAGGCTTTTAAAGGTTAAATTGAAGGTGGTCGAGATACCTTCATGGCGGAAAAAAGAAAAAAGAGATATAAAAAGATTCAAGATGTGGAAATATATTTTAATATGGAAGGTTAAAAGAAAAAGAAATGTTTCTAGATGAGATAATCTTTGTGTGGTAAAGTAAAAAGTTGTAAAATGTCTAAGTAAGTTGCAAAAGTCTTTAAAAGGCTAAATTGAAGGTGGTTAAAATGCCTTCATGACGGAGGAAAGACTGCGTCATTCGAAGCCTAGTTAATCGTAAAGGCATTACTTAAAAAAAATGGGAAGATAATAGGATAAAAGATACTTAGATAAAGAAGATTAAAAATTTGAAGTGAAAAACTTTAAAGACAGAAGTATAGAAAGTTAAAAAGAAAAAAAGGTAGAAAAGATGTAGGAAGATAAAAAAGATGTAGAAAGACAAGAATTTTAAACCCCAAAAATAAAAAAAAATAAAAATAGGAGGAAAAAAAGCAACTAAGGGTGAATGTACTAACCTTAAAGGAAAACTAGAAGATAGAAACAAGATAAAATGGTTAAAAATGTCAAATAAAGGTATTTCAGATAAAAAATGCAAAAGCTAAGACAACTATTAGATACAGACATATACTTATTAAAGCAAAAAGAGGGAATTGGAAGGGGATATATATCCCCCAAAGATAAACTTAAAATAACACTTTTTACTCTAAACTTTTTAAATTTGGATTCATCAGGACTTAGTGCTGTGGAAAGGCATATGTGTCCAAAAAATGTACATAAGCCTAAGGTACTTTGGAAAGATATTCTAACAGGACAATGGAAAGGTCCTGACCCAGTGATTGTCTGGAGTCGGGGGTCTGTTTGTGTTTTTCCACAGGGAGAACAGCAGCCGATTTGGATTCCAGAGAGATTAACTAAAACAGTTTCTACAGATCAAAAAGAAGATGATTTGACTCAAATCCATAACAGCTGATATCCAGAGCTCCAGCTTGGCCATTCTTACATCTGCGACAGTGATTAACCAGGCCACATCATAAGGTTCTATTTTTATTTTTTGAGCTCATACAAACCTAGGTTAATGTTTTTCTGATCAGTTTTATTTTTTGACTGTGGAGTTTTTAAACATTGCAATGGAGATTTCACCCAGGTAAAGCTACAAGGCCTTTACTATTTTCTTATGTGTTGTACGTTTGTGTGCACTCTTG